AGCTAAGGAAAGTTATAAATCACCATCTCACATATTACGAGATTTGTTGGACCTGATAGGACTCTTAATCTGTGAGACAAATCTCAATAGAGATAAAGTGCTCTTTAATTAAAATATTGCCTAAATTTATTCAACAGTTAGCAAGAACTTATTTACTTAAATAATTTAATTAGAATTTTCAAATTTACGAATAGGAATGCAGAAAATGGTTAAATGAGGACTAGATCAAACGACAGCAATTAATATTAAAACTGATTTGTGAATGAGGAAATGTAACACTTGAGTAAAATTGGCTTGTTATAGGACCGCTGTTAATGCATGATCAATTTTAAGCAGTATCGAATATATATATAAGCAGGGTCGAATATATTTTCATGTACGAAGTGTTGATGGAAATTGTAGTTGCATTGATAACTGACTGAACTGCTCCGTGTCTGCAAGAATTAAAACAGGGTGTAGTGAGCGGAACTGTGTGTGTGTCCACGCGAACTCCCAGTTTTCTCTCACTTGGAGTGATAAGGACCCACAGCAATACATTACCATCATCCATAATGCACGGTTCTCCAATCACTTGGCCACCTGCATAACAGCTGCCTTTTTATGTTAATTTATTTTAAATTTCCACTATTCTCAGTGATATGGAAATTCAATATCTGAGAACCAATAAAATATTAGTCTCATTGAAATTCAACTTACTTCCGATATGTTCACAACAAATATTAGAGATTCTGACTTCCCAGATGCTTTGGACACAATTTTCGAACAAGGTGAATGTCGCGAATCCATGTCATCTATTCCAGAAGAATCAGTTAACTGTAGAAAGATTAAAAAGAATAGAATTGTAATCATTGCCTTGTATGTGTAATTCATATACAATCCACAATTTTATAATTCCTAGTCGTCAGTCACTTTGTGCCTGGAAAACACTCGATTGAACCTCCCATTCTTGCACAAGCTTTCTTCATCGACTCCTCTTCGGCTGAGTTGAAGGTTCGCATCCACGAATTGATTCAAAGATATCTCGTCTCAATACAGACACATGAGTTTGATGGCTATGAGGTATGGAAAATCGGATTTCTCATGTGTGTAATACTAGCAATGCAATATCAGAAACTTCTTTTTCGCCCAAAGCACATTTTGTCAGCCTTTTTCATTATTGAAGCCAACGGAAATTGTGTTTCCTTCTGGCTTATACTCCAAAAGTTTGTTTTCCCCGTTTCAATGCGTTTGCCATTGGACGACTCAATTATTTCCATTTAACTCTCTTTATCCTTATATTGTTTTAAGTGTCCACTAATCAATGTGCTCAACCAAATTTCCGCTGTTTTGTGTGAAAATTCTCAAAAGTCTCAGTGAGCATTTTGATCTTTAATAAGACTGCATTTGTCGACGTTTTCTCAGACCTACCACCTTCTCGTTTTGATTA